AAAGCATGGTCAGGGCAGGTATATCACCTACACTGCGCATTGGGTAAACCTGCTGATGACTGCCAAGCATGGAATGCGTGGCTCTGCAGAGGAGTTGGTGACACCGTCACGACTTGCAGGTAGGCCTGCTGCCACCTCCTCTACTCCTCCTACTCCATCCTCTTCCATAACCTCCTCGGCTGAGTCCTCTTCTGCTGCTGCGTCTTGCTCCACATCAACAGCACCCCCCAGCTCCCCAGGTACTATTCCACATCCTGGATACGGCAGTGTCACGTCGTCTTGGGGTTGACTTGCCTGAAAGCAGAGAGTCACACCGGACCAGCACTCCTTTCCGCCCTGAATGCACAGGTGGATCAGTGGCTGACTCCGCACCAACTGGAGATCGGCAATGTGGTTTGTGACAACAGAAGAAATTTGTTGGCGGCATTGCATTTGGGTAAGTTGACACATGTGCCGTGCATGGCACATGTGTGTAATCTGATCGTACAACGCTTTGTGCATAAGTACCCAGGCTTACAGGACGTCCTGAAGCAGGCCAGGAAGGTGTGTGGTCATTTCAGGCGTTCCTACACGGTGATGGCGCACTTTTCAGATATCCAGTGACGAAAAAACATGCCAGTGAGGCGCTTGATTTGCGACAGCCTGACACGTTGGTATTCAACACTCCTAATGTTCTTTAGGCAGAAGCCCGAGCAGACCCGGGCGCCATCTTCGGAGGCCCCCCTGACGGACTCAGACTCCGAAATGAGCAGCCACGCTCACTCGGAACGTACTGAAGCCCCCCTCACCAGGAACGATATGAGGGGCTTCCTGGCCGACTTTAAACAGTCCGTGGCTGAAGAACTTGAAAAAAGGCTATGCCCCATACTGGCAACCATGTCGGAACTCTCAGCTCGAACACAGGCCACAGAAAACAAAATGGCGGCCACAGAAGAAACGGTATCAACACAGGGGACCGAGATACAAACTCTCCGAGACCAATTGCGCTCACTTGAAGATGCAAACGAAGACCTGAACAACAGAACACGGCGGAACAACATTAGAGTGAGGGGCATTCCGGAATCCGTCTCCACAGACCTACTCACCGACACTCTCACAGAGGTCTTCCAAACCCTTCTCCCAGAAGCTACAGCTGCCGACCTCCTTATGGACCGGGCTCACAGAGCATTGCGAGCTCCCAGTACCAACATGTCCACCCCCAGGGATATCATCGTCAAACTACACTTTTACCACATTAAAGAACGCATTATGAAAGCAGCCCGAGATAGCCCTGTGGTGGTGGAGGGGGTTCCGGTCCAGCTGTTCCAGGATCTGGCGCCGACTACCCTGAAACGCAGGAGAGACCTGCGTCCACTCACACAGCACCTTACCCGACATGGCCTCCGGTATGCCTGGGGTCACCCCTTCAGGATCATCATCCGCAAAGATGGCAGGTTCCACTCCATCACGAAACCGGAGGAAATCCCCACGCTCCTGGACCAGCTGGACCTACCGCAACTACCCGACACAGCGCACCCCAGGGCCGACCAGGCTCACCAACGATCGCTGGCCAGCAACCTGCCCACCAGACCCGGTGAACGCATGCACCGGAATGCGGCTCTCAACCAGCCGGAAAACTCACCGCACTGAGAGGAAGCACGAACGGAGCAGCGGTCTGCGGCCCCCTACGCCCATGCCCTCAGACGAAACCCCTGTTGGGACCCCCTAGGGGACTAGAACTTTATTTTTTAATCTTCAAACAAAATTTTTTTTTTTTTTTCCTGGCCCCGGGCCTTGGCCCCCTGGGACGGAGCCCACACGCCCCCATGGAACGAGACTGGTCATGGGACCCAACCTCCACACTCCAGACACCCCAGTGGGCCGGAGAGCCGAGTCCCCACAGAGTCTGAGGGCTCAAGCGCAGGCCCCCCCCCCACGGACGTGGTCGGACCCGGGACCAATGTACCGGAATATTTGCAGCAAGTTCCCCCCTCGCCCCGGGCGTCCGACCTCCCCTCCTTTCATACCAAGGCCTGCCCACGACCTTCTAGCCCTCACCAGAGACCACATCAACGATCACCCACGATATGGACCGTGAGCACGGAGACTCCCGGATCACGGACAGCCACACACCCTCCGCCAGCGCAAACTATAGAGGGACGATCCTGGGAGGACTGGGACTATATCCTGGCCGGAGCCGGCATCTGGTACGGGGCCTTCGGGGGGCGCAGACTCCCCCACCTGGAGTGTGGGTCTCTGTACACTGGAGCTGCTGCCCCCCGGACCGAGGGAGGGGGGAGGCTGGGGTGGGGGGGCCGTTGTTGTTGGGGGGGTGGGGGGGGCGGGGGCGGGGGCGGGAGGGTAACAAGACAAGGGGTCCAGGACCCTCTACAGCACAGACGAGCTGACTGCCCGGACTGCCCCCGCTGGCCCCTTCCCCGACTTGGACGGCCACGGCCAGCCCCAATGTCGGTCACCGGCAGCGGCCCCAGAGCGCCGCACCCGGCGCCCCCCCCCCTCCGGCCCAACAGGAGGGTGCCACAACACCAAAAGAAATGGGGACATCGCTTGATTGAATGTACCCACGGCCCCTCCAGGACAGAAACCAATGAGAACGCCCTTCTACGGAGCACCCCGACAGTGTAGGACCCATACCCCCCCAGGCCCCATCCACAGTGGACACCCAGACTGTGCCTGCCCCCCCCACCCCGGGAGACCGGAGTTGGCTAACACAGGACTCACCCCGTGTGCACCTCCCTGACTTAACTCAGAACCGCAGGACAACTACGCACGACTGGCCCCCACTGTGCGCCCCGCACGCCCCTCTCCCCTCCCATCCTATTGACAGACGAGACATGGAAGGACTGGACTTCAATCCTCCCCAGACGCAAAAAGGACACCGACGGCGACACGGGGTGGGGGGTCTGCAAACAAGGGCTCATGACTGGGGAGGCATGAGACGCTTGTCAAGACCGCTGCTTCCTCTCCTCCGACAAAGTTGACATGTTTGGTATGATTTTATATTGCATGCAAGCAAGGTTACGCTATACTGTTAAAATGTTTTATTGGGAAAGTGGGTGGCTGCGGGCGGGATGCACTTCACTAGGGCTGTGGGTGGCGGGCGGACACACACGACACTCAGTCCATCAATACGCCACACGCCACGACACCAGGCACCATAGCTTACGCTACACCCCAGCACCATCCCCCACTCGCGGTCCAACGGGCCGAAGGCGGCAACATCATCCCTATTGGAGACCCACTGCCCCCACCCCGCACGATAGGTCAGGGGGAGATGGCCAAAGACTAGGCCCCACACGGGCGGGCACAATACACACATACCTGCGCCTGGGGGGCGACCCACGGACAGGCCCAGATATGGAGGCCGCAGGGCACCTCCTTCCCAACGGGACAGGTGGAGGCACACGGGCTGCGCGGACCTGGCCCTCGGGCCCGGACGTGCGGGAGCCCCCTCGGGCACACATCAACCACAACACCATTCCAAGCTTACGGAGAGCCGCCCCCCGCACAGGCGGGGCCGAGACAACAGAACCCCCTTGGCCCAGACCGACCTCGCACACACAAATGGGACCCCCGGGACCCCGCTCCCCCCCCTCCCCTTCCGTCCCCCGCGCCCCCCCCGGCTCAGATCAAATTGCGAATTCGCAGGCAGGTCGCGGACGTACTCTGTCACTTCTGCAGACACCTCCCCCACTGGCCTCGGCCACCCTGGATCTTGCCAAAAGAGCCCCAGGACAACATACCGAGACCCCCGCCACTTCTACGACTGGCCAGGTTGATAAGACCAGTCTTCAACCATCCAACTCCCTCTGAGACCCTTTGACGGGCCCACGCAGGCAGGGCCCCATACCACCCCTAACCTTATCCCCCCATCCCTCTCCCCATCCCCTACCTTCCCCCTCTCTGCCCTATCTAGGCAGCACGAATCCAGATACCGGGCGACGGTACACAGCTATCCCCCACCTTTCAGCCTCCTATAAGCACCATTAAGCACCACGAATGGCGCACCGGAATACCCATATTAGTATCACCTCTCTTAATGTCAAAGGACTCAACTCGCCAGGGAAAAGACATGGGATACTCCGCTGGGCTAACCGCACAGGGGCGGATATCATACTGCTCCAAGAAACCCATTTCACAGATCAGAAGCAGTTCCCACTAGTTAACAGACACTTCAAACGCAGCTACCTAGCCAACTCACAGGAACCCAAAAAGAAGGGAGTAGCCATCTTGCTACCAACACATGCCCACTTACGGACATACAAACCCACAAGGATTCCTCAGGCCGTTTTATCTTCCTCACAGGCTACGTGGGGAACCTCCCCCTCACGATATGTTCTTTATATGCCCCATCCGTTCCAGACACCACATTCTGGCACACATTCCAAACCCATCTAGCCGGCCTATCAGCCAAACATCTAATCATAGGAGGAGATCTCAACGCAACTTACACCCCCACTCTGGACCGCCGCACACATACAGGCACCGTACCAGCCCCGACTAGGAATGACCAATTGTACGCCGACTTTCTATCTGCGACCTCCTTACTGGATGTCTGGAGGAGCCAGCACCCGTCGTCTCGCGACTTCACCTTTTACTCCCATACCCACAAATCTTACTCCCGTATTGACGGCTTCTTGGTCTCGCCAGCGGTACAGCCTTGGTCCATCCACTCCCACATCGGTAACATAGTATGGTCTGACCACGCGGAAATCTCGCTTACAGTACGCATCCCACTCAGAGCATGCCCATGGAAATGGAGGCTGAACCCCTGGATCCTAAAAGACAAAGCCACGATCCACACTATGGAGGAACACCTCAAAACCTATTTCGATCTCAACGACACCGAAGACACAACCCCACCCATGGTGTGGGCAGCCCACAAAGCTACCATTAGAGGTACCCTCATATCACTAGCCACGGCCCTCAAAAGACAACGCCTCTTGAAACTCACAGACGCCTTGACCACCCTCGACAAGCTTGAATTCCTACACAAACAGAACCCCTCCGAACACCTACTCTCGCAACTCAAATCTACGAGGGAACAGATCAGCCAACTCTCGGCGGCGGACGTCGCACGGAACCTAATGTGGTCCAAACAGCGCTTTTATGAGAAGGGCAATAAGGCCGACTCACTGCTAGCACGTTGCCTCCGGAAAAAGCAGGACCAAAAAAAGATCTCCAAAATCAAGACCCAAAACGGAGAGCTATCAACGGACTCCGAAATCATAGCCCGCGAATTCCTAAAATATTATTCCGACCTATACAACCACAACACCACGACATCAACAGGAGAAGCGGCGCACACGGACGCCATATCTTCCTTCCTGAAACCCCTCAACCTTCCCACCCTCTCTACACAGGAGCAAAACAGATTAGAAGCACCCGTGGAGGTGGAAGAGATCGCCTCGGTCCTCAAGACGCTGAAACCCAGGTAAAGCCCAGGACCAGACGGCTTTACAGCCATCTACTATAAGACATTCCAAACGATCCTTATACCACAATTATGCAAAGTCTTCAACGCAGTGCTGGAAGGCCACCCACTCCCCCCGGACATGCTGGCGGCTGACATCTGCCTTCTACCCAAACCCGGGAAAGAACACCTAGACCCAGGACACTATCGCCCAATTTCCCTATTAAACACCGACTTGAAAATACTCACGAAAGTACTGGCCAATCGCCTTAATCCGTACCTTCCCACACTGATTCACTCAGATCAGGTCGGATTTATCCCCACGCGGCAGGCGGCGGATAACACCAGAAGAGCCTTCGATACGATTTGGTACACCAAACATCGCAACATCCCGTCAGTGGTGCTCTCGTTGGATGCGGAGAAGGCGTTCGATCGCCTTCTCTGGCCATTCATGTACGGAGTACTCGCACATCTACAATTTCCGCCAGGCTTCCTGAACATCCTGCGGGCGGTCTACAATCGCCCCACGGGAACGCTTCTACTCCCACACGTCAATGCCCAAACCTTCACCATCGCCAACGGGACCAGACAGGGCTGTCCCCTTTCCCCCCTCCTCTTCGCAATTGCACTGGAACCCTTGCTCCAAGCTATCCGCCTCCACCCCATCATTCGGGGAGTGCAGATAAGACAGGAAGCGTACACAGTGGCAGCGTACGCTGATGATGTTCTTCTCACTCTAACGGATCCCATATCCTCTTTACATGCAACACTGCACCTCATAAGCGAATACTCTACCCTCTCAGGATACAAAATTAATCTAACCAAATCTACTTTAATGCCCATAGCTCTATCAGATCCACAGTTGCAACTGCTCCACCACTCCTTCCCGTTCCGCGTCACCAAGTCCTTCATTACCTACCTAGGCACCAAGCTATCCTCGGACCTTGGAGACACATACGGAATCAACTACACGCCACTCCTCAAAACAGCACACGCAGACCTCCAACGCTGGGACAAACTGGGAATCTCTTGGATGGGGCGAATCACCACAATCAAAATGAACCTCCTGCCGAGATTTCTCTACCTTTTCCAGACACTACCCATCCCGCTACTGAACTCGGATTTCAAGCGTCTCCAGACGGCCATAGACAAATTCATATGGAAAGCCAAGAAACCCAGGATCCGCAGAACAACAATGTACGTCCCTAGACTAAGAGGAGGGCTGGGACTGCCCAACTTCAAACATTACTACCACGCGGCCCAATTGGCCCACATCCAACAATGGCATGCCCCCCCCGGCAGTAAACGCTGGGTAGACCTGGAACATGATATTCTGGGCTGGGATCAGCCCTCCTCATACATCTGGGTACCACGGATACACCGTCCACTCCCCCCACCCACCTCTCCGGCAATCACACATACCATCGCACTCTGGGATAAACTTAATACTAAATACGACCTGTCCTCCTTTCTCTCCCCAATGACCCCGATCTATCGCAACAAACTCTTCCCTCCCGGAATGACAGCAAGGCATTTTCTAGCGTTTGACCACCGAGATATCTCACGACTCGGCCACTTGTACCAGCAAGGTGAAATCTTTAAATACAACGAACTCCCAAACGCGGGGGCTCTGACCACCGCTGATCATTTTCGCTATATACAACTCCGAGACCTAGCGCAACAACCACTAATTAAACAAGCAGGTACCTCACCGCTGACAGCATACGAAAAACAATGCCTAGCGGCCCCCCTGCAACCAGGCCAAATCTCCGCCAACTACACAACATTGACTACCCACATCTCCCAGGTCAATCTGACCTATATTGCCGCGTGGGAAAGAGATCTGGGAGCACCGGAGGACCCGACCGATTGGGCCGCCATATGGGAAACACTAAATTCCCTTACCGTATGCGTCACGCACAAAGAACAGGCATACAAAACAATGCTCCGCTGGTACCTGACTCCACACAGACTCCACAAGATGGGCCAGAAACCAGACGACGGGTGCTGGAACCTATGTGGCGAAGCAGGCCGCTACCTGCACTGCTGGTGGACATGCCCCAAAATCAAGCCACTATGGGAAGAGGTTAGCACCCTCATAGAAACGATCATAGAGAAGCCAGTGGTCGTACAACCGTGGACTATGCTACTCAGCAAACCATTAGACTCCCTCACGAGGAGTGAAAACAAACTAACCGCCCGAATCAATCTAGCAGCCCGAAGGGCAATAGCAGAACTATGGGCTGACCAGAGAACACCCCACATCTCTACGATCATCAGTAAAATTAAAGAGACCCGAGACCTAGACGAGTTGACAGCACAGATTAATGATACGTACAAATCATTCCATCGTATATGGGATCCCTGGGATGCGAACCACACAAAACTGCTTGAGACCAGCCTAAGAGCAGACACCCCGGACTGAGGATAGCGCTCCCTCAATGACACCTCGCATAGAAGGCTTACCACATAGGCGCAATGCTACTGGAACCCTGAATGGGATCTGCTCAACATGGGACGGACGCCAGAACGCACCCCCCCTCCCCTTCTTCTTTTTCTCTCCTTTCCCTCCCTCTCTCTCCCTTCCTACCCCGACCCTCCCCTCCGCACCCCATCGGGGCCCTGCAGGCGTGGGTAGAGAGGGCATCTGCCCCCACAAGGCCCCTTTCTCCATCCTAAGAAACGGAGGCACACCACAGTCACCACCGTCTGCCCAGCACAGATTAACACGGCGGGACTTACATCCCCCCCCCCGAGACCACCTCCCCCCCTCCTCATTCCGCCCACACACCATCAAACACGCTCGGGTGCTCCAGAGAGACCATAGGGCAACACACCCCCATTACAGCCAATAGCACCCACAACGCAATGACTAGTCAAACGCCAACAGCACAAGGCATCTCTCGAGAGCCCCATTCCTGGTCCTGACTCTCCACACGGGACGCAAAACAGGGAAAGGACTGCCCGTGGAGCAGCAAGATGACCCACGGAGACCACGAGCGTGGGCATAAACACACGCCAACCGACCACTTCCCACCCCACTAGCCCCGTACCCCTCCTGCCTGCGCACACCCCACCATCGTCACCGCACCCCCCCATCCCTCCTCTTCTCTCCCCAGACAAACAAGACAAATGCACACACAGTCACACACGCTCAGAACAAGAGGAACACCTCTCATACACGTGAAGGTACGAGAATGCACATCCCACGAGATCCCATAAACTTTCTGTTCATTGATATACAAATGTACGAATTGTAAATCTCTGTGGTTTTTGTTGTGTATGACAGTACCCCCTCTACACCCTCTCTTTGTTCTGTAACCTCATATATGTTATAAATAAAGAATTTATAAAAAAAAAAAACACTCCTAATGTTCGACCGCCTGCTCCAACAAGATAAAGCCGTTAACGAGTATTTGTATGACCGGGGTGCTAGGACAGCCTCTGCGGAGCTGGGAATTTTTTTACCACGTTACTGGACACTCATGTGCAATGCCTGTAGGCTCATGCGTCCTTTTGAGGAGGTGACAAACCTAGTCAGTCGCACCGAAGGCACCATCTGCGACATCATACCATTTGTTTTCTTCCTGGAGCGTGCCCTGCGAAGAGTGCTGGATCAGGCCGTAGATGAGCGTGAAGAGGAAGAGTTGTGGTCACCATCACCACCAGAAACAGCCTTATCAGCATCGCTTGCTGGACCTGCGGCAACGCTGGAAGACGATTGTGAGGAAGAGGAGTCAGACGAGGAATGTGGCTTTGAGGAGGAGGAGGAAGACCAACCACAACAGGCATCCCAGGGTGCTCGTTGTCACCTATCTGGTACCTGTGGTGTTGTACGTGGCTGGGGGGAAGAACATACCTTCAGTGAGATCACTGAGGACAAGGAACAGGACATGAGTAGCTCGGCATCCAACCTTGTGCAAATGGGGTCTTTCATGCTGTTGTGCCTGTTGAGGGACCCTTGTATAAAAAGGCTGAAGGAGAACAACCTGTACTGGGTGTCCACGTTACTAGACCCCCGGTATAAGCAGAAAATGCCTGAAATGTTACCGAATTACGGTAAGTCGGAAAGGATGCAGCAGTTCCAAAATCAATTAAAAATTATGCTTTACACAGCATATAAGGGTGATGTCACAGCACAACAGGAATCTAACAGGGGAAGAGGTGAAAGTAATCCTCCTCCTCCTACGATCACGCCGGCAAGGACAGGACGCTTCACAGACGTGTTGTTGATGGAGGACATGCAGAGCTTTTTAAGTCCTATGCATCGCCACAGCCCTTTGGGGTCCACCCTCAGAGAGCGACTCGACCGACAGGTAGCAGACTACTTCGCCTTAACTGCAGATATCGACACTCTGAGGAGCGATGAACCCCTTGACTACTTGGTGTGCAGGCGTGACCTGTGGCCTGAGCTATCCCAATTTGCGATAGAACTTCTGGCCTGCCCCACTTCAAGTGTCCTGTCAGAAAGGACCTTCAGTGCAGCAGGAGGTATTGTCACTGAGAAGAGAAGTCGCCTAAGTCAAAAAAGTCTAGATTACCTCACCTTTATTAAGATGAATGAGGGATGGATCCCGAAGGGACTGACAGTGGGTGATACATTCGACTAAAAAAGGCCTGATGAGGGGGACGTAACAGGGTGTCGCGGCTGCCGGCCCGCCGCGTGATATTTAAATCCCTAGCTCACCCCAGTACCTTGCCCTGTCGTGGTTTCCTGTTCCTGGTTTCCTGAGAGTGCTTTATCATTGTGAATCTGATTTCCTGGTATCCTGATCTTGGCTTTTCCCTGGTTATTCTGAATTCTGGTTTCCCTGACTTGGCTTGTGTAAACGGTATTGTGTATTTTCTGGCTTCCTTGACCTCGGCTTTCCCTTTGACCATTCTCTGTCTCTAGCGTATTAGTCCGGCCATTCTAAGGTCCGGTTTACGCTCTGTCCTTTTATTTTCCTTTTCTTGCCTATGTATATGTTTACATAGTTT